TCTCTTTTCTTTCACTCCCTGAATTTTAAATCCTCACTTGAAGGAAAGCAACGAGTTATATGAGCAGTACTGAGGAGTCACAGATAGCATGGTGAAATCGAGAAGTTTAATGGATGGTCAGTATTAGAAAAATTGAAGAGGACCTCAAGAGAAGGAAAACATGATAGGGTGGGCCACCTCCTTGGTAAAAGGATATATTGTTTCAATTTATACAGCATTTAAAACTTACGGGTAGCAAAAACTCCAACATGAGCAGACGTATAGTGGCAGAATACAGCGAAAACTTGTTCTTGACAAGATGAATCATCCTGATGCATTACTTGCAACTCAGCACATGATCCTCTTTCTTTAGAGGTCAAGGCCATGATCCCATAAAAATCCAGTTTTGTTCTCAGGACAGTCATCTACCCTAGTTAAGGAGAGGACAACTCTGTAGTAAGCGTGCAGCTGCACTGACTTTCAGCAATCAACTAGTCAAAACCAAACTTCCCTGCTGGAGATATAAAAAACCTAGCGAGACAACACAGGGATGAAAAATGCTGTTACAGATCTTTAATTATAACAAAATATTGCAAATGGGCTGCTTTCTACCTCTGCTGGGTCATTTTTAGAACCAAGTATCTGCAACATCAGCTGAGAGTAGTTAAGAATCAAAGAGGAGTGAAGCAAAGAAAAATGGAAGAAGTTACTCAATGTAAGAGAGATTAAAGGTTTCATGTCAGTGATGTGGTTTTTCTGAAAATAACAAAGTAGACTAAGCAGGGAATCGTGAGACCCATCAGAGAAATCAGTCATGCGAGAAATTCCAAAACTGTGTGCATTTATTTTTTTGGGAAATATGAGAATTCTAACACCAGTTGTTTATACTGGGTTATCTCCTTTGGCATCAGCTGAAGCTTGACAAGCATTCATCAGTGAAAACTCTAGAGTTCCTACACTGTTCCAGTCTAATAATATTACTCCCAGTAAATCTTTCACAAACAGTTGCTGTCTTCTACATGGTTCCAATATAGGATAGTAATAATGCTACTTTCATATTGAAACAATTACTTTATATTCAGGACTTGTTAAGTATTTATTATTTTTAAATATCTAAAACATAACAATTATGATAAAGAACTTCTCAGTAGACCTGCCGAAATAAACTACCATGACATCAAATTTAGTGCAGAGTGCTACGTACAAACCATTCACAATGTGATGTCCAAGTTGATTGTTTTTTTTATTTAATAAAAATATCTCTGATGTCTTCTGAGTGTCTCAGTTTTTGCTCTTCCTAAAAGCCCTTGTCAACAAATCAGAGACAGGGTATATGCTCAGAAGCAGATTAAGCATCTCAGACTCTGTCTTCAAAATAGAGTCAGTAAAAGGATGCATGCTGTGCAGATTATGTAATTCAAAATAGCTGTTTTTGAACTACAGAAAATGAGTATGTGCTTAAGCAACAGCTACAAATGTTACCCTAGAAAGTTTCCTTTGGCTAACATTCCACCTTAATATGATAGGTGGAAGGCAGTGGGCACAATCCAAAGCCACTTACGATTATGAGAGTGCTTGTTATACATTTCTTTTTTATAAAAGTATATAGTTTGATTGTTTCTTACCTCTGTTTTTCCACTCCCGGATGATTTACAGCATGGCTTTTACAGCTGTGTGTTGTTGTGAAAACAATGCTGAGCTTGCAGTTTTATTTTGATCCTAAAGCTGCACTGGTTTTAAGATGGAACTTAACCAGCTTCTGAGAAGAGCTGCGTGACATGAGTCATTGCAGGAGAGAGAAAGGAACTATGGACTGTCAGTCCCACATTCTACAGTCCAGACAAACCAAAGAATGGTTGGAATTAGTACTTCTACTGGAGATGTGTTTGTTTATTAACCAGACAAAAGGACTATATGTGTTACGCAAAAATATTTCTGTCTTACCAGGAGAAAATATTTTTTAAAATTAATGTAGAGAAGAGCTTGCTACTATTTAAGTTTTGCATTTCTTCCCCCAAGGACATCACACAGATTAACTGACTACAAAGCAAAGAAGTATGGGCTGAGTTTTCTCAAAGGGCAAGGGATTATAACCAGCTGATCATGGGGTGAGCCAGGTTGTTGGTTTGTTTTTGACATCTAAACAAAGACAACTAAATATTACAAAATAATTAAGGTCCACACTATGCGCTTCACTTACTTAAGGCTGACACTAACTTAATTAGAATTTAGGTCATGAAGATCAGCCTCTTGCTAGGATTTCCAAAGATGGTTCCTCTAAATGTGACACAAAGGCAGAAGAGAAAGCACTGAAAGTAAAGTGTTGAGCTTTCCTGAATTTCAGCAGAATAACTCTATCAGGCTCTTAGAAAAACTCCTCCTTTGCTTGGTACATCCCCAAAAGTTACTAGGATATAGTTCAATATACCACAAACTTAATTTCCTCAGAGAAATTCAAGTGTAATACAAAATTATATGTAAATTATACTGTGGTCACCAACAGGATACCATAAAAACCGTGGTGGGAAAAGCTGAGGATAGATGACAGGTGTGAGCAAGAGAAATCTCTCTTTTTGCATAAAGAGTGTGCCCAGTAGGTGGAGAGAGATAATTCTCTCCTTTAGCAGGGGAGTTGGACTAGATGATCTCTAGAGGTCCCTTCCAAATCTGACAATTCCATGATTCTGTTATTCCTGTTATGCTTTCATCTGCTCAGTAAATTACACAAGTTCTACATTCACACAGTAACCAAGTTGTCTCTGCATTCGATTCAGCACAGTACTTCAAGAAGCATCTATTATTATTTATTATTATTACTATTATTAACTGTTGTTGTTGTTATTATATCCAATGTTAAAAGTTATACCATCTTGAAATTCCATATGGATATAAAACTGTTGTCCAATTTAGAATATTTACATACTTCACCTTTAATGTCTACACTTTTTCTTCTAAAATTACTCTTAAAAAACCCCAAATTATAAAAGCCTATGTAGTTTCCCACTCCTTTTATCAGTTTAGCAATAAGAAGCAGCTTTTTAGAAAGACATCCAACACACTTTGTCGTATACATTAAAAAAAAGCTACAGCATTCAATGGGAAATCAAAACATTAAATTCATTAAATTTTTACTTAGGTCAAAATAAATTAACATAATATGTACCTGCAGAAGTAATCTCTCAAAGGCAAGGAAGTTGTCCCATTTGGAAGTCTGGGGGTGTTTCAAAGTCTGGACCACAGCCAGCACAAGCTGTAGAAGACCACAATGGTTCTCCAAAGCTTTGAGATTATTTCTGAACAGCTGAATGTAGGAGCTGAGCTGTTCTGGGGTGACTCTGCCTATGGAAAGGAAAAGAGGACACAACATTCAGTGGTGGTAAATAGAAACCTAGATTACTTTTTTTATTACAGTGAATGGGCTATAGTGAACTTTAGAGGCTCTCTCGACTATGGGCCTGAACCCACCTTCACTGCAATCACTGGGAACTTCAAGTTGCAGCAACAGGTCAGGATAAAGACTTACTTCATCCATTAATTGTGGCTTAAGTATGTGGTATGGCAGGTATTATTGCAATACACAACAAATAATGACATAAATGGTAATACTATTTTTTATTTTTAGACATAAAGTGACATTAATTTAAGCTAGGGAAATAATACTTGACAGCTACTTCTAAACAATAGTTAATGTTTCTATTTTTATCAAAAGTCCAATGGGAATTCGGGAGCCTTATTGCACCAAACCCACAGCCTCCAGATGCTTCCTGGGGTTGCATCTTTGTTCAGTGTTAACTCAAAAAATAAAGATCACATCACTGATTGAAGAAACCATTTTCCAGAGCTGTTCTTGAAAGGAACACTTCCAAGGCATGACTATTCAGTTCCTGAGATGCAGTAAGCATACCATGATTTCACCTGCTAATTGAAAATAAACACACTGGTGCCCCTACACTGCTCTGTAGATCTCTTCTAAATAGAAGAGCATGAGGGGAGTCATTCAGGCCACACGAACACTACAGATTAACAGTTATTCCATCCAACATCAAAGTGCGGCCTAAACTGCTCAATCATTTCCTATTTTAGAAGTGATCTGTTCCAGGGAGGAAAGTCCACAGTGCCTCATAATACCTCCTCTGCCCCAAGAAAATAATCACAGGCAATCAGATCTGTGATCAATACACAAGGAAAAAATGGTGTCAAAACACTGTCCTAATTGCAAGTCTGGACTGAAATCCAGTCCAGGGCTGTCTCATGGTTTCTGGCAGCCTCTGCCAGTAAGAAGTTATCTTCCTCAAGCAAACCAGACCTAAAGAGCATGGACATGTGAGGGAGCGAGGAGGATCTTTTAACTCAAACAGAACAAGCTCTGGTGCCAGGAAGGCACTAGGCTGAGCTGATGCTAGGCAGCTCATGGCTTACACCACTGATCATATTATTCAGTATTTTTCCATGATGGAAAGATCTTGTAAGACTGCCACTGTGTTTCTTCTCTGTGTTTGGTTATATCGTCAATTTACAAAGCTCTCCATCTGCCTCCATCCATTCAGTACCATATAAATGGTGAATAAATGATTCCAACAGTGAATACATGTTGAAAACGCTTTCTTTTCGTTTCAGTGATACCAAGGGTGGTCTTTGGAAGAGCATTCAGATTAGGGAAAGCTGCTAAATAAAGCAAAAACACACAAGGCTCCTTATGTGAATTTTAACAGAAAGCATCAAACTGCAAAGTCAGCAAATCAACACACAAATCAAGCTGACACCACTCAGTAGGCCAGAGAGCTGACAAAAGGCATCCATGGTTAGCCCACATAGGCTAGAACAGCAACCACAGCCACGTGTGGTTTTAGACTAAACACTGGAGCTTTCAGTCTTGTTTTATTTCTTTTAAAGCTGTGTCACGCAGATTTACATGGTGATTTGAAAGTGCCAGCCCATGATGCCTTGCAGCATACCTTTGAAAATGACTGCATTATTACCTAAAGCAGCCCTGATATATAGTACATATATGTGGTACAGATATATAGATTAGAAATCTGATAACTTGCTTCAATTGAGAAAAGAGGAAGTTGCCAGCCATTCCCTCATGTGAATCAGTAAAATGGGAGGGCTTTTGAGGCTTCTGATTTCAATTTTTTAAAAATAATTTTTCAAGAGTTTTGTTCCGTATCGTCCCTTGTGAAAGTGAATCCAGATGCAGCACTGGACCAGTCTGAGATCAATTCAGCACCATTTTAGATAAACAATCAAACTCTTTC